AGATGATTTGGTAGAACATGAGGAGGAAGAAGAGGAAGCCAAAACTGGAGATTATTTAATAGAGCACGAGGAGGAAGAAGAAGCCAAAACCGAGGATGATTTAGTAGAACATGAGGAAGAGGAATCCAAGACTCGTGATATTTTGGCAGGATATGAAGAGGAAGATAGTGAGCTTCCCAGTATTTTGGTAGAAGCTGAGAAGGAGGCAGAGGAAATTCAAACTGAATACATTTTTGAAGATCAAGAAGAGACTAAAATCAGAGACAGTGATGAGGAGGAGGAGGAAGAGGAGGAGAAAAATGAAGATGTAGTAGAATATGAGGATAGTGGGGAGAAGGGGCCAGAAGAACCTATTGTAGTAGAACAGGAAGAGACCAACACTGAAGAGCCATCAATGACACACCTTAAAATACTGTTATCTGAGAAAATCGGTAATGACAGCACTGTACCTGAATCTGCTGATGGTGAGGAGGAAGAGAAAGAAACTTTTTTTCCTGTTTACGAGGAGGATGAATACTCCAACATCATTGATGATCATGATGAAAATAACAACAACAGCGAAAGCAGAAAGACTGAACCTAAACGAAAGAGGAAGGCCGATGTTACCCTTGAGAGATTTGGAGGACTCAAATTGTCTCACAAAGCAGAAAGCCACAACAAATATGAAAAAGGTACTAAACTCTTCTCCTCACATATTTGTCATCATGTTTTTCATTATGAGGCTATGAAAATACATGATGCATGTATTAAGTAATGTTATGTTTTATGTGGAATGGTAGTGTTAATTTACATGCTCTTTGAATAGTTGGTAATGACAGGACTAAAGTTATTCGGACCTAACATGTAATCTGCTGAATGATTAATTTAACTTTTTTTAATTTTTAATGTTTAATATTTTATGTCACAAATTTTCTTCTTTGGGCTAACAATGTGTGAATGTTTTTTCTAACTTTTTGAACCATCAAGTATTGGAACAGTACTTTATGCCACGTATTTTTCTTTTTATAACTGTCTTAGAAAAGCACTATTAGTAGTATTACTAATGAAGATATGGTAATAATAGATATTTAAAAATACACCACAACCATACCCAATGTTACATACCATATGTAACATTGGGTGTGTATATATATATATATATATATATATATATATATTTAATATATTAATTATTGCTGTCAATCAGTTAAAAAAAAGTATTTGGCACAATTTCCTGTAATTTGTCTGCAATTATTTGAAAAATACCCTGCCTGCAATTACATTTTTTCAACTTTATATTTAAGCTTGTAACAGATATTTAAGCCAATAAGCAACATAATGAAGTAAATGCAGAATAAACACAAAGAATGTATGCTTAAATTCAAAGAGATTTTTAATAGTTTTTGTCAATCTTTAACACAGATTCTCTGCTGTGAAATACAACTAAAAAAAAAATCTTCAAAGTCATCAACAGTGAATCACATTAAAGAAGTCTTTCTAGTATCTGCTGATAGGAAATAATACTGAACCTAGGCCTAAAGGTTAAAGTGCTAGCACAATACCATAACAATAAATGCCATTAAAATGAGACTTTAGCTTTAATAATAATAATTTCTTATATAATTTAACAATAGAAATGTAAATAACAAAATGTAACACTTTAATGCTCAATTTCAAAAGGGTGCACAAAAGTCAATATTTAAAACACAAAAAGACAGCTGAAAACCCAGAGTGGTGAACATTATTCTCTCCAAAACAGCGATTTGGCTTAGTCTTTTACACTCAGCCAGTTATTGAGGCAGACTATTTTGTTGACATCATCTGAGGACAAAGAAGCACTCCTCTTTTGAATGATGTGACCTGAGAGTGAGAATAATCTCTCACAAGGCACTGTGGTTGCAGGGGTTGACAGGTATTTGCATGCAATAGGTGCCAGCCTGGCATGTGCTCCTTCTCTCTTTAACCACCACTGTAGTGGACACTCCTCTATGTCTATTTTGGGCTCTGCTTTGTACCGATCCAGACAGCGATCTATAGAGTCTTCCTCTTCTTCTGAATCTGAATCTGAAGAACCCAGCAAGCAGATGGCGATCTTTCTCTTTTTTGGTGATGGTTCCTCTGTTGTCTGAGCAGATGGTTGGTGTGAATGCGTCTCTGCCATCACAAGGTCATGTAATGAAGCCCACACCTCTCTTCTTTCATCTTTGGAAACACACTTAAGGTCTTTAAACCTGGGATCAAGGGCAGTAGCGATCTTCAGCCATGTTAGATTGATGCTGTCCCTCCGCTGAGCTAGGTCTGTGGTAAAAACCTTCTTAAACCTCAAAACGTAGACTGGGTCATCATCCGAGAGCTCCATAATCCTGAATAAATAACACAAGGCTGGCAACACCACGGAGCAGGAAACATACCGCTTCCCCCCCAGCAGTTCGGTCACATATCTGCAATAGAAAGAACAAAAGTTGTAAACAAGCCTGTATTTTTATATTAATCACACAGAGACTCAGAGGTGGAGGGGGAGAACATACGTGAAGACAGAGCTAGAACACAGAACACAAAGGTAGATGCCCACACATACATCATAAACAAAATGATTTACCTGCAAGGTTCAAGTAGTTCCTCCAGCTTTTGCAGTACGTCAAACTCCTGGTCGGTCAACATAGTCACCATGCTGTTTTGCTGAGCCAGGATGGTGGTCAGCACAGATTTGTTTCTCTGGATCCGCTTGATCATCTCTAGGGTGGAGTTCCATCTTGTTGGAACATCCCGAACAAGTGGTTCTGTTTTTTGTCCATGTGCAACTTGCTGTTCCTTTAATTCCTGTGCGTTTGCTGGACTCTGCTTAAAATGTCCAACAACCTTGCGACATTTGGACAAAACCCTTTCAAATTCACTGTCATTAAGAGAAACTGTGATCGTTCTTTGCAGAATGTGGGCCGTGCAGGGCATGTGTTCAAATGGAAGTAGTCTGGCGGCTGCAACCATGTTACGAGCACTGTCGGTGCCAAACGTGGTTAACTTGTCCTTAATTTTCCATTCATTTGCAACACTGAGAAAATGGTCAGCACACGCCTCAGCACACTGTCGCTCTTCAGTTTTACTCACTGTTAGTGCAAACGATTGTAGTGTCCAGTCGTTATCAATAAAATGCGCTGTGACGCCCAAGTAGTTATCGTTGTTCACCGAAGTCCAGCGATCTCCTGTGAGAGCGACATTCCTTACTTGCACAAGCTTGCTGGACCGCTGATCCCTCTGGTCCTCATACAAAGTGTGCAGTCTCGACACAATGGTTCCTCTCGAGGGAAGATTATAACACACGTCTCCTGATGCAACGCGAATGACTTCTCTCAGTCCATCATCTTCTACTATGCTAACTGATCGGCAGTCTTTAGCTATCCAAACAACCAAAGAATTGGTTAGCTTTTCACTCAGATGTTTTGTTATCCGTCCACGAGCACTATAATCCTGAGGCGTAGATTGGCAAGGTCCTGTAGAGGTGGATTCCGGGTGTTTTGCTCTCAGGTGATAGCACAGAGACGAATTGCTTCTGTGGTACCTGAATTCAGCTTTGCAAATTGTGCACGTTACTTTCGTTTTGTCCAACAAGCCGTTAGGCAACTTCTTAAAGTAAAACTTCCCCCCCAAAAGCCCGTCCTTATCCATTGTTGCGTGTTTGCTTATAATAGCGTGGTAACACTTCTTCTTCGTCTAATTATTTCCGGCAGGCAAAACGCCAGCATAGCACAATGCTGCCCCCTCCTTCAGAGCTGCCAATGAGTTAAAAGGTCTTGTATTACAGGGGGGGGGGGAGTGCGTTATTTTTTTTTTTAACGCGTTAAACATTTCACATTAATCTCGTTTATTAACTCGTTAATTTTGACAGCACTAATATTTACAGGTAATCTTCTGTATATGAGCATATGTCCTAGAGTGGGTTTCATTAAGATCCCATAGAATTATTTTGTGTGCCCAATCAATTTTCAGGCAGACACACAGTGATAAAGTTGTACATTTCCAAAACACCAGGCTGATTACTTTTAACAGTACGACGATGATATTGTGGCGTGTTTGTAATCATAGTTTTTTTTTTAACACTGTGATGCTTCTAGTGCTTTTGCAAGCATGATTATTTGTCATGTTAACTGTATTACAAGTCCAGAAATTAATTGTTGTATGTTGAATATTTTTTGAATATTTCTGTATGCTGTATTTCTGATATACTTTAGTTCTGAAAGAAGCAAAGAAAAGACATGCAATAGAAGAAGTTAAAGATGGCATTATTAAAGGTACATTTTTTTAAACTGTGCATGTTTTTGATTTTTCACAGCTTATTTTTTTCTAATATTAAATTGTAAGTATTTGTGCCAATTTGCCACGGATAATCTTGTGAGGATGCATTGCTGCTTACAGATCTCAAAGCTGCAGCACCTGTGATGGAGAAGAAAAAAGATAAGGAAGCCAAAGAGTTTGAAACAGTAGAGATAAAACCAAAAGAAGTAAAACTAAAGGAGAAGCCCGAAGTTGACACAAAACCTCTTAAACTGAAAGAAAAGAAGCCCAAAGGTAATAACGTTATATTTTGAAATTACAAAATACCGTTCAGAAGTATAAATAGACTTACAAAATATGAAAAATAAATACAAAATATATACAACCAGTACAAATGTATACCAGTAACTTCTCCACACAAAGGGCACATGATATCCTTTTATTCCCTACAGAATATACTAAACTGACACCTAAATTGTTGCTTTTAGAAGAAGAGCCAGTAAAGAAGATGCTCAGAAAAGATGTAAAAGAACTGCCCAAAGAAAAGAAAAAAGTTGTCAAACCTAAAGGTGAGAGGGAAGTGAAAGAACCTCCCAAAGGAAAGGACAAGGCGAAAAAACCAATTCACTCAGAGGTCAAAGCAACAAAACCACCTAAGAAGGAAACAGATCTCAAGAAGATTTCCAAAGAAAGGAAGAGGGTGATGAAACCAGCGAAAGAAGAGGAACAAGTCAAAAAACCTCCCAAACAAGAAAAGGAAATCAAGAAAACACCTAAAAAAGAGAAAGAAGTCATTAAAGATACCAGAGAAGTTAAAGAGGAAAAGGAACCAATAAGACAAATAAAGGAACTCAAGAAATCACCCAAAGAAGAGAAGGAGAGAAAACGTCTTAAAGAAGAGGAAAAATCTCCCAAACAAGAGAAAAAAGTTAAGAAACCTGTCAAAGAAGAGAAGAAAGAGGAGAAACCTCTTAAAGAAGAGAAACCTAAGAAGGAATCTCTCAGAAAAGAGAAGGAAGAGAAGAAACCTCTTAAAGAAGAAAAGGAAGAGAAGAAACATCTCAAAAGGGAGAAGGAAGAAAAGAAACCTCTTAAGGAAGAAAAAAAAGAGAAGAAACCTCTCAAAAAAGAGAAGAAAGAGGACAAACCTCTCAAAAAGGAAGAGAAACCTCTCAGAGAAGAAAAGGAAGAGAAGAAAACTCCCAAAAAAGAGAAGGAAGAGAAGAAACCTCTTAAGGAAGAGAAACCTGAGAAGGAACATCTTAAAAAAGAGAAGGAAGAGAAGAAACCTCTTAAGGAAGAGAAGAAACCTCTTAAGGAAGAGAAGAAACCTCTTAAGGAAGAGAAACCTGAGCAGGAACATCTCAGAAAAGAGAAGGAACAGAAGAAACTTCTTAAGGAAGAAAAGGAAAAGAAGAAACCTCTTAAGGAAGAGAAACCTGAGAAGGAACATCTCAGAAAAGAAAAGGAAGAGAAGAAACCTCTTAAAGAAGGAAAGGAAGAGAAGAAACCTCTCAAAAGGGAGAAGGAAGAGAAGAAACCTCTTAAAGAAG